GCCCCCCCCCCCCCCGAACGCACCAGTTTCATATTCTGGTGACAGTCATGGGATGTCAAGCAACTTTAGCAGCAATACTGCGTTACGATAAAGGTCAATCATGGTAGGTTTCGATTCTATCTCAATCAAAACCAGACACGTATTAGTAGGCATTTATCAATCTTTTTGATAAATTTCCATACCAGAAAACTCTAGCAGCAATACTGCGTTACGATAAAGGGCAATTGTGGTAGGTTTCGATTCTATCTCGATCAAAACCAGACACGTATTAATTGACATTTATCCTTCCTTTTGATAAATTTCTCTATCCCAGAAAACCATTGACGTTTAAATGTAATTTCTGTGGGAGAATCCTGCTGTGCAATCTCTTCTTTTATTCACTGTGGTATATATACAGGACACACAACACTTTTATACTAACTCAGTCTACTTTGAATAAATGTGCAGAGAAAAGAGATAATAATTTGCATATCACAGTCTGTTCTATCTGTCATAAAAAAATCACATGTGGGGCATGAAGTCAACTTAGTGTAGCGAATTCAAAGGCCAGTAATACATAACGGACAAGTAAAAATCCTCATTAATCGTAATGTTTCTTGGATATCCTTGATCAGGCCACCTGAATTTGATATAATTAAACGGATATAGGTTTGCATAAAATACTGGGAGTTACATTTAAGTCTACAGCAATCTGTATTTGAGATGAATCTGCCTCGAATCACCCGGTGATTTGTTATACTTTATTCCATTATCATGGATCGATGGATACTAATTTTAACTTTGCTTTTAAATTTTAGTGAATGTTGGGTAAAAAAAAAAAAAAACTGGCGAAAGTCACCGATTTGCTAACTAAGCATAAAAAATTATATTTTGTGTTTCTGTGTAAAATGAAACCCACACGTACACTTACGTAATCACACTAAAAATTTGCTTGTTCATTTACATAGATTAGTTTTATGCAACATTACTTTCAAAGAGTTATTGGAGAAAGCTGTGTGAATTACATCAACATTTAGATTTATTTTTGTTCAGAAAATGAGATATTTTGATATCTACATAGTAAATTTTTCTTTAGTCTCTTAAGAGATAATAGCCTTTGTGCTGCTCCATATCCCACAAAACCTGTAACTGTAACTGCAACTGATTAGTTTTATCTTTTATTCAGCACTTTTTGAGAAATTCAACTGGATAATTAAATTCTCTTAATTTTGAATATAAATATCGTAATTGAATTAGCAAAGATATTTAGTTATTCAAAACTTTCTTTTTTGAATCATTAAAATGCTTCGAGCTGAAATTTTGCTTTAAAGCCTCCAAACCACTCCGAGAGAGGAGAAATTTTCTTTGTAAAAAAGTCACGAATTTCCAATACGGTACTGAAAGTAATTTTCATTCTTCATATGATACGACGGTTGCGAAAGGGTTAACGATTCTTAGTTACATGATAAAGCTCAGGTCCCTAGGCATTTGTTCATCGCATCAATTTCGAATTTCTGAGTATTTATTTGTCAGCTGTTGCGATTTTTATTTCAGGGTAATTATTTCACATTAAATTGAATTAATGTTTCTACGCAGTTTGTAACGAGGAAAAAGATTTGTTAAATGTTGGCTAATTAAACCTCTGAATTTAAATTTCATTAACAGAGGCTTGATCCTATTTGTATAATTTGCCTTTTATCCCTTAATATAACTTTTTTTTTACAATTTCGGAACGACAACTATCTTTATGAAATAAGGTATTTTAAACAATGAGATTAGATTATTGTAAACAATTTATAGCTGTATATCTCCAATTAACTGCTGAATAAAAAGTTGTTTATTTTAAGTAATGCGAGTTAGGTTTTTTTTTTTTTTTTTTGTATGAGTATTTTAAATATTATATACAAATTAATAGATTTTAAACGTAAGTTAAAGCTTTTTATGGGAAATCTGTATTTATACTTTTCTCACACAGTAGTTATAATTAATTATTACTTTAATAGTTATATTCCCTTAGCAAATGAAAATTATCAAATAAATTTTTTCCTCTACATAGGGGACGGGCACTTGTTTTGGCTTAAGGTTCGCATTGTGGAAAAACATTTTAAAAATGATTTTATTCATTAGTTATTTTGCATCTCAAGTATAAATTGGGTATAAATAGTATATATAAAGATGTAAATTGTATCTTAAAAGTCAATAAACATAAGTTAAATAAAACAGTGGTAGTTTTATTCAATTTATTTGTTTTGCTAATTTCATTAGCTGTAAGCACAGAGAACTATTATGGCTAATAGATGTCTTAATGAAATACAAAAATATATATGAAATCGAATTTAATCAAAAGAAAAACTAAGGTTCTATTGTATAAAAGTCTTTTAAGATCAGTATTAACTTATGCATGTGAAACTTGGTCCAGGTCTCGAACAGATGAGAACATGATCAGTATCTACGAAAGGAAGATTTAAAGATTTATTTTTGGAAGAATTCAGGAAAATGGAACATGGTGAAGAAGATAAAATTTCGAGCTCTATCACACATATGAAGAATCTGACAAAGATAACTTCATCAAAATACAATAAATTAAATGGGCAGGTCGCGTTGTCAGAATAGACGAAGACCACACCACTAAAAAAGTCTTCATTGCCCAACCAATTGGTGAACGGAGAAAAGGCAAGTCAAATCTTAGATGAATTGATCGCCTAGAAAAAGATCTCCTGGTTTTGAGAAATAAAAATTGGAGAACACTAGAAGGAAGAAGGTTGACATGGAAAAGACTTGTTGAGAAGGCCAAGGCCCACCCTGGGCCATCGAGCCATTGAGGAAGGAAGGAAGCTGTGAGGTGTAAGCACATTTAATTTTAAA